TGTATAGGCTTCCTTTCCCTGATTTAGCTCCAAGTTTAGTTGAAGTGCATGATGAATACTTCACATCCTGAACCTTTATCTCTACCTGTGAGTTTGTAACGTGGCCTGCTGCTCGGAGCTCTCACCAGAGCCAGGATCTCCTGAGTCCCTGTCCTAGTTGCACTACAGAGTTAGCCTAGGGAAAGCTATTCAACTTCTCTGCACTTTGGGGTTTTTATCTTGTTTTTGTTTATCTACACAGTGAGATTAGTCTCTTGCTAATATCACTGACTCCTTTAATGCACAGGTGTGATTTGCAAGCCACACCTGTGAATAGCCCAAAGGAGCGGTCAGAGAAACAGCAATTACAATTTCCTTAGGGACCATGACTGTTTTTCTATGAAATGTGCTAAAGCTCAATTGTTAAAAGGTACAAAAGGCAGGAATCTAAGGATTCTGTGTTGTCATGTCTGCTGTTAAAGAATCTCATTTTATTCATCTCCTTGAACCTATTAATGGACTTTCTTCTTCTTTTCAGATCAAATTCTGTCCCTTTTATTATACTTTGCAGGCTGGTGCTCCACCTTGCCTTCCTCTTGGATTTTGCTTCCTTTGGTCCTTTCATGATCTACTTGCTCCCTTTCTCCCAGTAATGTCTGCAAAATTTATGCCAAATAGTTCGTTGCCTTGGGTGCAGTTGATGTCAGTGTTTTGTATTTCTGCAAAACTGTTTCTGGCCTTTTAAAGAACATCTCTGGGTTTCAGACATGCTACTATTCCTGCATTCTGCATTAGTCCCTTCTCTAGCCGGTTTGCCACTGTCACCCTCCCACTCTGTAAAAAGCTGATTTTTATCGTCATTTATCCCAGTTTAACATGCCTACTTTTACAGCAAAGGGCAAGAGTGTCTGGAGTATTTGTCTGTTTCAGTCATGTTTCTGTAGGATTCCTAAACCAGGACCAGGTGCTCATGAATCCTTCTTTTATTGTAGGAACTGAAGTCTGCTGGTGTTCATCAGCCCAAATTTGCTGCTGAACTTGCTGAGAACAGGGGAAAAAATAGATACAACAACGTCTTACCATGTGAGTTACTTTCTTCGCTTTTGCATCTTCTACTGGTTGAGCTTTTAGGTGAAAAACCTTGGGTGTGGCTAATCTGGCTTGAGTAGTACCCAGAGGTTTCAAAGTGGGAATAATGTCATGAATTTCCAAATGAATTTGGGCTTCTGCTTTCCCAAAATCGCTGTATAAGCAAACCTAAAGAGTGTTCCCTCAAGGATGTTCCCTAAAGTTCACAAACTTTCCCTCAAGCAAGCTCCTTGAAGAACTTTCCCTTAATTTAACTGATTTTAATTTTCCGTTTGTGAGAAACTTGCAGTCCAGATTGAAACAACAAGAGGTCGACGGTTGACTACGAATCACAGAATGTTCGGAGTTGGAAGGGACCTCTGTGGGTCATGTCCAACCCCCCTGCCGAAGCAGGGTCGCCTACAGCAGGCTGCACAGGACCGCGTCCAGGCGGGTCTTGAATATCTCCAGAGAAGGAGACTCCACAACCTCCCTGGGCAGCCTGTTCCAGTGCTCCGTCACCCTCAGAGTGAAGAAGTTCTTCCTCATGTAGAGGAACAGACAGATGTACAGAGCTATGAGAAATATTAAGACCATTCTGGCCAGCTTTGCAGACAAAACTAAGAGCCTAAGCCCTGCCAAGCTGTCTGCGGGCACCCCAGCGTAGCAAAGTGTAAGAAGGAATTGGAAGGTGAACAGTGAAGGGTACTTCAGGATGCTGTGGAGGAAGAACGTCAGCTGCAATGGCAGTAGGAGACAAATTACCTGTTTTTTATCCAGTAATTAAAACAAAAGTAAATTCTGTGTTGGATTAAAAATATATAAATATGCAAAAACAAACCATGTTTAAAAAAAATCTGCGTTGAGTATTCTGAATTTTTATCCTAGCCACTCATTTTTCTGAAGGCTTTCATTATAAAAATTCTGAACTACTCCTATTTATGATTCCTAAAGTTATATTCTTATTCTTAAAATGCACATTCTTCTAAAACAGCTTTTATTTAGAAACCATGCATTAGATAAGCAGTATTTTGCTGGAAGGTTCTAGTTCTAAAATTAATAATTTTCTTCTTTTTTCTTTCTGCAGATGATATTTCTCGTGTTAAACTTTCAGATCAAAGCTCTGCAACTGATGATTATATTAATGCAAACTATATGCCTGTAAGTTGCTTCATTAGTTGAGATGAAATCTAATGTGTATTTTTATGACATAGGCTTAACAGATCATAATTAAAATGAGCTTTTTGTGTCTCATTGACGCACATGTGTGTATATATATTTATTCTGTCTTTTTCTTCTTAGGGCTATAACTCAAAGAAGGCATTTATTGCTGCACAGGGTCCTTTACCCAATACTATAGAAGACTTCTGGCGCATGATTTGGGAAAAGAATATCTACTCTATCGTTATGTTGACAAAATGTGTTGAACAAGCCCGGGTATGTTTTTATTAAAACCGAACTTTCTCTTGAGGACGGTTGGATCTTTTCTGATTTTGTTGTTAACCCTAGTAGGTTGGACACGGACCACTTTCGTTTGACAACCGTCCCGTTACTGGAAGACTGTTTTCCACATTAAATAAGCCCAGATTTTAGCTTTTTCCCTTTTTTGTACTTGCTGACTACCAGAATAGATTGTCTCAGGAGGGTTGTAGAATTGCTGTTTTTTAGGGTGGGTTGTTCTTCCTAAAGAATGATTTTGGTAGAGCTTCTCCTGCCTTGAGATTTTTCATTGGGAAGGGTGCCGTGCTTTCTAGCCCTGCTTCAGGTGGTTTGTTATTTAGAACTAAGAGTTCCTTTGTTGCTGTGTGTGATGTGTCTAACCTTGTAACTCTTTGCTTAGACAAAATGTGAGCAATACTGGCCAGACAAACAATCCAAGAGCTACGGTGACATTATTGTGACAATGGTCTCAGAGGTTGTCCTTCCAGAATGGACAATAAGGGACTTCACTGTAGAAAAGGTGAGTACCCCGTCGGTTGTTAGCTGTTGGTGTGTAAGTATCTGTAGAAGTGGTTTATCATATCACTGTGACGTCACGCAGCACTAGAGTGATAGAATATAATAATTTCACTGAAACTTAATCAAATACAAAGTTATCTGAGGGAAAAGGATAAGAGTAGTTTAATTTGAGGCTTTGAATGTATTGGCCTACTTTCTGCCAAAAGTCTGATTTATAATCTTTCATGCTACTTACTGACAATGACATTTCTGTGATATTTATGTATATGCATTTGCCCCATCGGTGATCCTGCAGCTCATGTTTCCCTGAGACTGGCACCAACGCTCATGCTTATGCAGATACTTGCAATATCTGCTAGACTGAACAATTAGCCCCATCCCTGCCAGCAAATGTAACGCAGCAGAGGTGATCTTGGAGTAAAGTGAAAAGTAAAGGGAAATTATTTCAAAGGATTCTGTACCAGAAGGAAGGAAAAGGGAAACTGAAATATCATTGTTCAAGTTACTGCACAGTTGTAACAGGCATCTTTAGTGAGGCTGAGCTTTGCCCAGTACATACGGCAGGAAGCCCTCCTGTTGCTCCGCTGAAGCTGGTTTTCTTTTTTTCTTTTTAACATGCATTCCTCTAGTCAAACAAGCCAGAGAGCCACACAGTGCGCCAATTCCATTTCACCTCCTGGCCAGATCATGGAGTGCCGGAGACAACAGACCTTCTCATCAACTTTAGACACCTTGTTCATGAGTACAGCAGTCAAAATCCTGTTGACTCTCCTACTCTGGTGCACTGCAGGTAGGAAGAAGATATTTGTTAGACACGCTTTTATCTTGTGGCTTTTTTAAGAACAATTCTTTGGCAGTGTGATTAAGAAGTCTCTTTGCTTCAGGACACATGCTATTCACCCTACCAAGTTCAAACCTTTGCCTCGTGGTTCAGAAACATAGCAATGCTATGTAGGTCATAAAGTACGTGATACAAAATTTCGTTAGAACAGACCCTCTCTCCTAGCCCGCAAAACCTGGCTGAGAAAGTTGGCTTTTGAAGTGCTTTTATATGTAATCTTGTGCAAGTGCAAGGCTGGGAAGCCGAGAAGCATGTCCTCTCTCCCTCTTGGTGGTGGTAAGAACCACCCTTCTGGACAGCAGAGGCTTGTAATACCTGTGCCAAGGAAATACTAGAAAGCATCTTACTAGCTTTGCTGGCTGGCTTTTCATCAGGCCACCGATGAGCAGGTGGCTGAGAGAAAGCAGTACGTAGCTTCCCTGTGTCATTGCAGTGCTGGTGTCGGGAGGACAGGGACGTTCATTGCCATTGACCGCCTGATTCAGCAGATTGAAATGGAGAACACTGTGGATGTGTATGGAGTGGTGTATGATCTTCGCATGCACCGACCCTTGATGGTGCAAACTGAGGTAAGGCTGGCTTTCATCCAGCAGTGTGTTTTTCAAATGCGCGTAATAATCCAGGAAAGGTGGATTCAAGATGTAGCTCAGAATTACAGGAAGATGAGATATTAAGGAACAATCTGAAATTGCTCTTCATTTAACTTCCCTCCTTCCTGCCTCATCTCTTCCCACAACAGTAGTCGCAGCCAGGAGCCGTAGGATGTCTAAGCGGTCTCTTCACAGAGTACTTTATAGGACTGGCATTTGCAGCTTGAAATAATCAAATCTTGAAAAGTTTTTTTGCAGCTTGTTTTACCCGTGTGAGTTTTATCTTTATAGCTGTGAGCCAGAATTCTCGAGTCAAGTGGTCTCGCCGTGCATCTTTTCTTTTGTGTTCTGCAGGAACACGTGTGTTCCAGCTGAAATTGTCACTTTGATCCAAAAAGGTGTATGGATTAACTCAAGCTGATTTGGAAAAGGCTGTAAAACCTTCATCATGAAAGGCTTTTAAGATGATGTTAGGCATGACAGTAAATTTGATCCTAGTTTTTTATGGGAGGTTGATCAGGTGACATCATGAGGTCCTTTCCGGCCTTATTTTCTGTGAACCATACATATAACTTCTAAAAAATACTCTGTGATAACATTCAGTGCGGTGCACTCAACAAACAAAACCTGTATTCAGGGGCAGAATTATTTAAAAAATGAGGTGTTTTCTAGAAATACGCTACCCTCCTTTGTCTTTTTTCTCCCATCAGGACCAGTATGTCTTCCTAAACCAGTGTGTTATGGATATTATTAGATCCCAGAAGGACAAGAAAACTGATCTTATTTACCAAAACATGACAGCAATGGCAATCTATGAAAATTTCACACCTGGGCCAGGCTTCGGGAAGGCCAATGGCTACCACGCGTAGTCTGGAAGGAACGCAGTGTCCCAGGAGATGTTACCTGCGCATAGGGAAGGGAGATGTTCTACTCATCTTTTCCAGGACTGTGTGCAGTGTCTCATGTCTGGCTTCTCCAGTTCTGTCCACATTCGAAGATGTGATCTACAGGAGGAAAAACACAACGCTGGCAGAAGCCGCAGATTGCTATTCAAAAAAAAAAAAGCAAAACTGTTTAAAGTTAACAGAGGAATCTTGCTTTTTCTTGGGAATTTAACAGTGCTGATGGTGAAATAGCATTTGCAGTATGAACAGTGAACTAGAATTTAAATATTAATAACACAAGCTTTTTATTACAATTTTATATGATTTCATTTACAGACACAAGGCTTGTGGGCTGTTTTAATATATTTAATTATAAGTTTCAGGAACATATTTTATCTACTGTATCTGGTTACTTAGCTAATAGATATGTGCCTCTGTGATTTATTTTTTTTCTGTGTTCCTTTTATTTAAAAAAGGAGTACAAACAGCTCCTTCAAATGGACATTTATACTTGGAAATTGTGCCTTTTCTAGTTGCTACTCTAGAAAAAAACCAGCAGAGATTCTATTTTTGTACTGAAACTCTTAATGAGAACACAGATTTTTAAATAAGGCATATGTCAGACTTAACTGTAGTTGCACTGTTGGCAGGAGTCTCCAGAAGTTTGGAGGTGAGCTTTGTTTTTGCATTTCACCACAAATATCCCCTGCCTTAATATTTCGGTGCCTCTGCTAGAGGAAAAGGAGTGTGGTCTGTCACTCCGAGCTTTATCGTAAAAATACTGAGCAAGTGAATATGTGAATGTGTGTGCGGGGGTGTGTGGGTGTGCATGAAGGACAGAATAGCTCCTCCCTGTTCCTGGCTGATACTCCTGTTTTTATACAATTTATAATGATTTATTTAAAGGTGCAATATATGATTTACTGAATAATGATCACTCTATTCTAATAGAGTTTTACTCAGGTTGGTGTCTTTTTATCGTTGTTGTTGTTTTTCCTCAAATATATAAATCTGTGAAAATGTCAAACTAAGGTTCCAAGTGTCCAGGCACTCCCACACAGATTGACTGGCTTTATTGTTTCTACCAAAACAAATTGCACAAAATTCTGCTGTAAAAACCAACGTCTCGGTTGTTTTAGCCATTCAAAACTGAGACACATCTTACCTGGCTGCATCTCATTGATCTAATGTAATTGTTTTATAATTATTTGCAATATACTGCTGCTGTTGTTTTAACTGGTCCTTTTAAAAACAGAACAAAGAAGCAGAACATGCCTAGTTGCTGATTTTACGAGTCAGGGGTTAGATTGGATTTATTTTGCTGGTACATAACTGTTAGACTTATGAAGGCATTACCAATGAAGGACTTCTTCAGTGGCTTCGGGGGGTGTTTTTTGGTCTTTGGATCATTGCACTGGTTGCATTGCAGAGGAGTATGAAGTTTATGAATAATGCTATAGAATAGCTATAAAGTGGTGAAAATCTTATGAAGGTTTAATAACCAGAGTCCCTGGAATTCTGCTGCTTTTTTTTCTTTGTTTTTTGGGGTTTTTTTTGGTCTGTTTTAGCAGAGCTGTCAGAAAAAGCTACAGATACTAGGAGTATGGGTGGCATTACAGTGGAACCTGGCGACCTCGCAGAATCTACTGTCAGCTGAAGGAAAATGTAGGAATTCCTGGTGCACAACTGTAACTTTACAGATATTCAGAGGAATTTTTTTTACAACCTGGTGTGAAATTGTGGTGTGCTGTGTGAGCAAAACTGGAGGACAAACCACAGTGCACTTCAGCTTTTTTTTTGTTTGCAGCAGCCACTTGTGCATTCTTGGGTATATTTTTTTTCTCTCTTTCTCTGAATTACTTTAAAAAAAAAACCAAACACTTAAAAAAAACCTCCAACATTAATGATCCTGCCCAACTCCATCCAGACTGGCAGTCCACATAGTGGGTATCTCACCCAGCATTCTTCCTAAGCTGCTGTCAGATGACAAACAAAGATAAACCACTTGGACCAAACAGAACCATTCCAAAGGAACTGGGAGGGAGGAAAGCCTGCCCCTTACAGTCACGTTATATTTTTTTCTCTCTTAATCTTTTAATTACTGCACACCTGTGCAGAGCACAGAGCCTGTATTCATTATTCCAGGTCTCCCAAGAACTTGCTGCCTTAGGGTGGCAAATGCTCTCCTGTGTCAGAAGGCCCTTGTTTTGTACAGCACAGGAGAGAGGGATGTGGATCTTCTATGCTAGATCAGGTGTTCGCATTATGTTGCAGCAGAACATCAGAAAACTAGCTAGAATGGTATGTGTTTCTGCCTAACCACTGGCCAGATACTCTTACAGAAGACAAACGTATCTGTCCCGTTGTATTCATGTTGGAAGCAGGCGCCAAATTCCCGCTTGTGTCATCGCCTTATGAGTATCCATTTTTAATACAGCTGTATGCATGTGTTTTCCTAAAACTGGCTCATTGTGAGAAGAGGCTGAAGTTCGAAGCAAATGACCTGCTGATCCCAAGTATAGGTGGAAAAAGCTGGTAAGGCTTAAAATGTTGTAAACGTGAAGTTGGCCATAGTGTCCATGTGACAAAGTAGGACGTGCCTCGTAGGGAGGGGGAGGATTGCAGGTAATTCTCTAATACCTTGTGCATCTGTCTTGGTCAAGATGAGTTGAATTCCTGCAAATAACTTTCCCGTCCCTTCTGATGTTCGCTGTGTTACACTTGCTGAGATCTGTCTCTTTGGTCCGTGTTTTCTCTCACTGTTGCTTATCTAAAGCTATCCACTTTTCAGGCTGAAAGCTCCACTGTGTGGCAATTACATCTCCTGCATTTCTGTTCTACTCTTTTTCCCAACTGAGGCCTGCATAAGAAGGGAAAAGTTGATGTGTTTCAAATAAGTGACTGTTGAATATCTTGAAATGATGTAAAAATTTTATTGTTTTCATATTTGTTGTACAGGAAGTTTCAGCACATGTCTATAATGTTTTTAATGGTTTGATTTGTTTTTAAAGATCTAAAAATAACAATTAAAAAGCATCATCCTAGAGTACTTTGTCTTTCTTGGGGTTTTCTTTTCAGTTCCTTCTGAATAAAATGAATTTGCCAAAATACCCATTTCATTTAGAAGGGCTTTATAATGGATAAGGAAAGCAAGCTCCCATCCTCTAGGGTTGCACATGAGTCAGATCTGTGTTAAGGTCACTGGGGGCTTCCCGCGAGGGTGTCAATCTGTCACTGAGACTTGCCCAGCAGGACCAGGCCCCAGTGCTAACGTGTCCTGGCAGTTGGTGGTTTCTCTAAATAAAGAGCTGGGTACCAGTTAAAGGAACAACACCTTCATCCAAGGTCAATCAAAAGAGTTCCACTGGCTGAAATAGCCTTGGGGGAGGACCAATGTTTCTAGGACTCATTCACTTCCAGAAAAACAAGAGTGAGGACTTTTTCATCCCTTGAAGGAGATGCCCTGTTGTCAGGGGGTGATGATAGAAGGGTGTGCAGAAATATCTCTGAAATGTTATGGCTGGCTTCTTGATTACAGATTACCTGACTACAGATGCATATAAAATGACCTCAGTTAAGTCCTTTTCTGCTAAAATTCTTAGTTTCCATTCCTGGTTGCTGTCTGAATCACTCCCAAGGGGAATCACATGCCTAGAGGGTGATCCTGGCACTCAGCAGCTCTCCAGTTCATCATGGGGTGCTGGCACTTTCTGCAGAATCTTGTGATCCTCCATTCTAACTCTGCTGCATTTTCTGTTCTGAAACAACTGCATGGTGAGGTGGGAAGAGCAAAGCGTGATTGTCCCGCCATCCTCCAGTGGTAGCATGTGCCAGCCACACGATGGTTGTCTGAGTGCTCTTGGTGAGACTCATGCTGCAGAAGAGAAGCTGTGACAATGAGCCTCCCAGCGCCGGTGACCACTGCTGCCAGAGGCAGTCGGCCTCAGGGAGACCTTTAGGGAGCAAAATTCCTCACTTTTTTTTTTTTCCCTCCTGAAATCACATAGATCTGAAAGAATAGAACATCAGTAAAGCCAACTGTTCTGGCTGTCATCTGGAGTGTTAGTCTGTTCGTGTGGGTAGAGCTGAACCCGTGTATCTGGAAATCACATTCTGTACCCAGTCATGTCACTCGCTAATTTTACTGGTTTTGAGACTAAAAAGGTGGAGGTCAGAGAGGAGAGGGCGCAATGTTTCTGTCCTGTTCTCTGCTTGATAAATGGGCTGTAGTCAGAAATACTGCTGCCTTTGCATGCCCTTCCTGGCTGGGTGTTAGCAGGCAGTGAACGGAGTTTGGAGATCAGCCGGTGTGAATGCTTTTGTGGAAGAGGGTCAGAAATGGGAACTTAGAGGGGAAGAACACCTGAAAGCTGCACACGCTGCTTTTCTCAAGCAAAAACACTCTTGGCAATGGGAAAGATGCTAGGTCTTAACAGCTCCTGGGTGATCTGAGTAAAAACTAATCAAAAAATGCAGACACAGTCACTTCTGTCCAGGGGCATAATGAGGGGAAGCAAAGATCAACAATGTATTTGCTTCTGAGGTAGGTAGGTACAGTGTTCTCCCATTTCTCTTACCCACCAGAGAAGTTACTGCACTTCCTTTTTCCAGTTACTGTGGCAGTGCTTCAGGGAGTCCCTTTCAGCTCTTGACATAAGTCCTTGTGTTGTTGAAACCTCTGGCTTTACATGGTTCCGTATTCAGCACTTTGCAGAAGTGTTTACGGAGTTGGCACCAAACGGTGTCTCCCTCCGGTGTTGTGCTTCCTTCTGTTCTCCCTCCTCTCGGGCTGGACAAGCTCTTTGCCCATGCCAGCCTCCTGCCTGCGAGTGCGCAGGAGGCAAATGAAGCAGAAAACCTGACTTGGAAGCACCAGGAGGAACTGCTGCCTGCCTGCTTTGCTGGCAGAAGTGAAGGAGCTGTTTGTACATCTCACAAGGGCAAGGAGCTGAGAGCCCCTCTCAGACTGTTTCTTAGATCTGAAGAAAAAGATTCAGGATCCAGGCCTGTTCTTTGTTGCTGTTACTTAGTAGAACCCCATTTATTCATTCCAGTTGCTTTTCCTGAGTTGACTTCATTTTAAATTAATAGACATCATAAAGCTAGCAAATTAGCCCATCTCACTGAGAAAAGGTAGTCTCGTTTGATCCAAAGTGAGTTACTTTAACTCTCATTTTGCCTCCAACTTTCCAAGTAATGAGAGAAGAGCCGGATTCTTAGGAATGATGTTGTGGACGTAGTACTTGTGTTTCATGGACATCCCTAGTATATTAACAGCGCTTACAATAGTGCTACACACTGTGTGCTAGGGACAGAGCGCTCTCCACACACCATGCCATGTCTCTGTCCTTGTTTCAGTGCAGGGCAGGATGGGCAAGAAGACACATATCCTCTGTAACAGATTTGTGGCCTCGTTTTTTTTTAATCGCTTTTCTCATCTGGTGTTTCCAGTGTTGTTTCCTACTATCAGCATGA